ATTTGAGTGTTTTTCCAAACATTATTTTTTTTATCATTGTTTATTTCAAGATTTTTTATGTGTTTGGTATGTACAATTATAGTTTTTCTTATTTTTTATGTGTTTGGTATGTATAATTATAGTTTTTCTTACTTTTTCCTAATTTCCAATGGAGCTTAAAGTGTCATTGGCAATGTATGAGCATGGATATATGATGTACTAAACCAATGCGTCAAGGGTCTAATGTATTTTTGCCCTTAGTTTCTATAATGTTTTGGGTAGTAAATGCAGCAATGTATCAAGGCTCTTGCTAAAACCTCTCTCTTTTCTTCAGGGAGAGGCAATGTATATCTTTACTCCTTGACCCCTTAAACTTCCGTGAACTTCTGATTATATTGTGTTTTGTTGTTGTTAAAGAATTAATAACCAACATCCCTCTTTGTTCTCTTATAGTTTTTTTTGAATAACCTATCAGAAGGCTAAGGAGCCATACCAACCCACTAGAGGTTGATATCGATCATCTGCTACCACACTTGAAAGTCTGGGCCAAAGCTGCTACTCTCGCTCTAGCTCCCCAGCATTGTTTCATCAACCAGGCTTGGTTTACTTTCTTCCTAGAATAAAGGATTTGGAGGTACTATCCTATTGGACAGATCCTGTTCAAGTAAGGTTGTAGAGAATATAAATGTATGCAGTATGCTTGTAAATATATGTATGATGGCTGTGATGATTTCTTGGCTACTGATTTTGGGGCATTTTGTGAGCCCAGTCTGTATCTTGGTGGGGCAAAGCGCGGAATGACATGAGCAGTGCAGCCATGGCAGCTTGGGTTTCACATTGCCCCCAGTGGTCACACAGATCTGAGCCTCCTCGGGCTACCTCTTCCTCTTAAACTTTTTGGCAGTTGGCCGAAAGATCTATGAGAATGGGCAGAAAAAGTTTTGTATTTACGAGCGTGCCAATTTGGCCGTCGCCGTCACATTCACTGTTTGTTCAATGTCTCATCAGTGTCTGATTTAGCAGTAACATTTCAGATTTCCGGTTACATATGAGTCTGTGAGGATACATTTCTTCATAAGCTGGCCATGGTGAAACCGGTCCCTTGATGGCGTGGCAATCCAGGACCCCAAGAATTTTTTCGAGTGGCTAGGATTGCAGCCACACTGGTTGTCTTTTCATCCATGCATGTCTTAAAACTCAGATCTGAGACTCTAATGGAAATGCAAAAATTTTATAACTCCAAGCATGATTATCATCCCAAGATCACGGATAAAACTATAGTAAAGTAGAAACTCTTACCTTCTCTCCTGGAAGCAGTAAGAGAGAGGAAGTCACATAAAGACGTTGATGATGCGAACATAGCCGCTCAAGCGTCCTGCCTCCAACTTTGACACACTAACGCCGGAGTCTACTATAATCTTTATGCTAGTAATGATTATAATAGTATACATGAATATAAAGATTAATAAGGGATAATATTAGTCTTGTATATTACTTGTAGAAAATACTAACAATAATATTTAGGAAATATTATAGAAATTTTCTACACTCATAATGCTATTATGGAACACTTTGATGAACACCCCCTTTCAATTCTTATGAGGCTGCTGGAAAATGTGAGGTTTCTAAGGGTGGTTTCCTTCACTGTAAGCCAATGATTTTTCTAGTCTTGTATATTACTTGTAGAAAATATTAACAATAATATTTAGAAAATATTATAGAAATTTTCTACACTCAAAATGCTATTATGGAACACTTTGATGAACACCCCTTTTCAATTCTTATGAGGCTGCTGGAAAATGTGAGGTTTCTAAGGGTGGTTTCCTTCACTGTAAGCCAATGATTTTTCCCTTCATAATTAACAACCCTTTGTAAAATCAGTACGGAGTACTACTAATTTGACAGAATTGCGGGAATTATCTGATGAGGTTTGGCCTGAGATAGGTGTAATTGGCTGAGCTCAAATTAACACATAAAGAACTCCCTCCTGTTTGAATAAAAATGTACTCCGTATACTGAGGGAATATGCAGTGTACTCCCCTTTTATGATTCGGGTAGCTTCCTTTTTCTTTTGGGAGGATTTTGGTCCTCCCATTTTCAATTGGGAGGATTTTAGCCGATTCTTGATGCTTCATGTTTCAAATTCATCTTTGAGTTGGGATTATACTGGGTTTGTTGTTGTGATTCATCTTTGTAAGCCTCGAAAATTTGGTAGGCTGTGATGATGATATGATCTGCATAGAGTTTCATAGGCTGATGAAATTTGGGCAAATGCAGATATAACTGATGTTTGCAGGCATGGCGGTCTCTTTTCATTTACCCACTCACACAAAGGATCTGAGCCTCCATAGTTTCTTACACTTCATTGTAAGTAGATGAAACTGGGATCACACTAGTAAATGGAGTACATGATAATATATATATATATATATATATATATATAACATCTGAGTGTCCATTATCGCACTCCTCGTCAAGCAAAACATACTCTTTGGGGTCTATTGATTGGGCATGAGTCGATATGAAATGTAATGTGGCAGGGCAGGCATGCTAACAAGCTTCTCTGCAGCCATGGCGTGTTGGAGCAATCTTTTCCCGGCACTCAAATCTGAGCCTCATTACCGCAGTGGACTCTTTTCAAAGTGCCGGTATCAATCTTTGACATCTTTGTATCTAATTTCCGTTTTGTTCAAGTATTTTAATTTGAATTTGATAGGTTTCTTGACGTTTTCTATATGCAGCATTTAATGTATTTTTTAAGAAAACTTTAAGTTTTGAGCTAATGGCCTCTTTGTAACCTCTCTTCTTTTTGACAGCCTCTTTGTTACCCTGCTGAGAAGCTGATTTGAGTGTTGTCAATGAGTTTTATATATGGCATGTTTGGATCATGGAAAATGCTCTACGTAAAGGAAAGACAGGGAAATGAAAATAATTTTCTTGTGTTTTGGTTTCTTCTTGGAAAGTGCCAAGAAACATGTATAAATATTTTGAGCTTGTGCACTCAAATTTAGATGTTTCAATCTTGTTTAGATGATAAAGAAAGTATCAACCAATATCTTAATATATATTTATTGAGTTTGAGATCTTTTAACTTTCTTCTGACCCTGTTCTTCTGGTTTGGAATTTTAGAGAGTTTTAAAATATTGGAAGAATTAAATCGTTAAAAAGTCACTCAATTAAATGAGCATTCAAATGAATATGTAAGAAAATTTTAATTTTAAATAAAAAGGAATTCATTATTATTCGTGTTTGAAGTGATATGTTATAAATTAGGATATATAATGTTACTCGTATTAAATATTCATCATATATGAATATTTTCTTTAAGTCACTGAAAGAAACCCGATGTTATAAACACAGCTTTGAGTCAAGGGTCTAACCGAAACAACCCCTGTTTCCTTCAAGGGGTAAGGAAGGCCATGTACATCTTGATCCATTGATCCCATAAACTCCTGCTGCAAAGTTATTGAAGTTATTGTTTTTTCTTTTAACGCGGGCCTAACCCTCTAAAATTTGAGTTAATATCCCATGAGCTAATAGCTCGCATATCAAATATTAAACTGATAAAAGGCCAATGATTTCTATTTGGGGTGGTTGCCATCCTTCTGATAGCCAATGATTTCTTCGACTTTTGAAGAATATAACCAACAATCCTTGTTGTTAGATTATATGAAACCTTTTCTAGGCATACATGCTACAACTAGAAGCCTGAGTTTTCTGTAGAGTTGGTTCTTTTAATAGTTGGTCCTATTTTTTTCTAGGAATAAGAATGGATCTTGGCCATTAGGTTAGGCTGTTTGGATCTCCATTTTTTAATGAAATAATTTTACGCTAAGGTTTAGTATTTGCACTTTTACGTAATTTAATAGTTACTCGATTATTTCCATGTACGATTTCTGCAAGATATGCGCCCCTCTATCCCTTATTTTTCGCGTGATATTCAATGCCATCGTTAATTTAGTACCCTTACTCTTGGTCGTTCGCCGTTTTTCGGAGAAGAAGCCATGGTTCGAGTAAATGAAAACCCTCTCTCGTGACTATTGTTTTTCCCGTTTGCTTTCGTTTTATAGAATTTTTTTACCATTGTCAATTCATAACTTACAAATTTGAAGTATTATATTGCTTCACCGATCAATCAGTCCCAAATGGATGGCGCTTTAGCGTGAGTCGGGGTGCTAGAATTGTCGGTACCGGTTCGGAAACGGACTCATGTCGAGGCCAACGAAAGCATCAAAATGGTCCATTCTAATTGAGCATTTTTTTCAAATTAGTACATTTTCGAAATTTAAATATATTAAATATGAAGAAAGCAATTCTAAATTTTATAGCATCAGAATATATTAAATGAAACCATATATTGAAAATAAACATTTCAGGTTTTTTAAAATTTTGTAAAAGAATAACTTGACAATAATATATTTTCAGAGTAATAAATAAGAAAAAAGGGAAAAGCCTAAAGTAGGAGTAAAATATTGAAAATATAACAAAATAAGAGTTCCATGTTTTTATTCTCGAAATAGGAGTTAAAATACATTTACATTACCAATCATGGTCATGCACATTACAAAAAATTATAATAAAATGTCCATGTACAGTGCCAAATTACCACAATGCAAACTCTTTTTAGGGAATAAAAACATGAAACTCCTATTTTTGTAATTTTTCTATGTTTTACCCCTATTTAGGGTGATTTGAATAAAAAAGATACTCCCTTAGTAACACAGTATTTGTCTAGTATTCTTTTGTAGCCTGTAGTATTAGGATAAAACTACTTGTACCCCAAATTTTTGTACCCCATTTTGTGTTGGTGTAAAACTAATTTTTGTTAACGCACCAACAATTTGTGTCCGTGTAAATTTTTGTTAACACATCAACATTTGTGTCGGTGTAAACCTTCAAAATATTTGTGTATAACTGTGGTGTACAAAAATGGCTACAAAATTAAATTATGTAGCATGGTCCGTAGTATTAGTCCACTTTTCGTGCGTGTAGCTAAGATAAAACGTAGGTTCACTCAATCCCTCAGTCACTTCGATCGAGAGAGGGAGCTAAATAGAGAGAGAGAGAACAGACGAGGGTTTCCCGGTCGCAAAAACCCACCATCGCTGGCGACCTCCGGCGAGTGGTGTCTCACGACCAAGGTCATCCAAGAGATGAGAGCGAGCGCTTCAACCCGACGTGCATCACACGCCTAGAGGTTCATCTCCCCAACCTCTCCAGCATTGGTTTTTTTTAGGTATAACTCCTTAATCCTTGGTTTTAGATCAATTGTTTACATTCTAGTTGTTTGGAGTTTAATCGCATGTTTTTGAATGTTCAAATTTCAATATCAAGCAAGCTGATTTTGTGTTTGTCAAGATCTGTGTTTGATTACCAAAGCTATTTGATACTCGGCCAAATACCCTACCCACTCTGGAAAAAAATCTCAAAAAAAAAAAAAGGTCCTACGGGTTCGACCGGCCGGTTCTTGTAGATGGTTCGGTAGGGTTTTCAAAACTATAACTTTCTCTTTTTACCCCTTTTAGGTTGATTTCTTTTTAAAAAACAAAAAAGATAGTCCCTGGGTAACTCAGTATTTGTAGGTTATTCTTTTTTAGGCTTAATATGGAATGTCAATTATGCCCTCATTTACTCCCTTTCTCATCCACATACACTTGATTTTTTCTTCCCCTTATCGCATATTTCGTTCTGGCCTCATCTCTCACTTCTCTCCCCATTCATCTCTCTCTCTCTCTCTCATCGTTCCTGAAGTGGATGTCTTCTCCAACATATGGAGTGTATCCGGATCGTGATGTCCAGTTTTTTGTTTCTTGATTTTGCTTTTGTTATAATATTTGGGGTTTTAATCCATTTTGAAATCTATACGTAATGTTTGTTTTTGAAATCCAGATCTAATTTCTAGATCGGGAATCAGAGCATTTGTTTTCTCCTTCGCCTGGTTCTATTTTTGCCTGTCTGTGAAAACAACTACGGTCTACGGGTGACGCACGCGACGGGAAGAAGTGGACCACTGAACTGCAGCAGCAGCAGCGAATGTAAGTAAATCCCTTTGGGAGCTCTGGATTTCGCTTCTCTCTGATCTATTTGCTTTCTATTTTTCAGATTTTGAGTTACAGTAGTTTGATCAAGCTTGAATTTGAGTTTCGAACTAGTTTGCTAGCAACCACGTTGTTGATTTCAGTTCATAAATTTTGGTATTTTCTGATTTCAAATTCTGAAACATGCGTGTCAACGTTTTAGTTTCTAAATTCTAGAAAATTGAAAGTGTGAGCTATTGAAAAGAACAAAAAAAGAAAGAAAAAAGATCAAATGTGATAATGGGCTAAATTAGGGTGGATTGAAATAAGGCCTGGAAAAGTGGGTTACTGCCCCCCCAACCCAAAACAAAGCATAACCCTATGTTTGGGGTGTGCTGAGAAGCTTCAGTTCGGAATGCTCTTTTGTTCTGCGCGCGCCACTTGGTTCTCACTTCTTCCGGTATCAATATCAATCTCCTACAATGTTCTCAACATTTTGAAATCTATATCTTTTAATGTTTATGCAGATCTTCCGGATCCGTATGACAGTGCGATGATAACTCTCTATGATCACGGATCAAAGATACACTCCAATCTCCTAAAGGAGATCAGTGTCTTTACGTCATGTAATGCATCTTTATTAAAGTAATAGGGCTCGTATATCCCCCCGGGGGGGTTAATCTAGCTATATGAGGTTGTTCGGTGTGGTGGAGTGTGTAAGATTGGCATGGTATTTATAGGTGCACATCAAAGTCTTTTGTTAGATAAAAAATATACCTCTTTCACTGATTAAGAATTGTTTTTATGTGCAAAAAATTCAATGCTAACATCTGGGTATATGTGGTGCAAAATTACTGACTTTTTGGTTTCTTCCACTTGTAATGGATAACTATGCTTCATTCTATTGACCATGTTCAATGCTTTAAGTTCGTAACAGATGAACATGTATTCCACTATGAATTTGACACACGGAAAAAACAATGTTCACACAAATTCTTCTATGTTCAATGCTTTAAGTTCAGAGCATGTAGTATATCATTATGTATATGGCCCCCAGATGGGTACTATATTATTTTGAATTTTTTCCATTGTAATAGGTGCTTTCCCTTGCTGCGGAGGATGTGAATTTTTAATTCACTAACATTTTATTACCCAATTACAATATTTGTTAGGGTTTATGTGAAATGAACCATATCTTGGCGGGCCATCAGGGTGATCAACCATCTTGTTGCAGCCATGGTGGTCTGTCCTTGGAATTCAGATCCGATCATCTTTAAAGATGGCTTAGAGATGATTCCTTGGAAGTAGGAAGAAATTCAACTACGAAAAGGCTATGATGAAAGATTTTCAGTATTTTTGCTTATTGGGGTCCTAAAATTTGATGAAATGATCTGTATCTTGGCGGGGCTACCATGGTGGTTTCGTCACCTTATTTCTCTTTGGAAAATACAAATTTGAGCCTCTTTTAAGTATATTTTATACTCCGTATTTAATTAAAATTTAAATCTAATTTAATAATATCTTTCACAAAGAGTACTCATTAAATAGTAATATTAGATGTTGTGAACGTAGAGCATTGAACATAGAAGGATTGCTTGAGTTTAGTAGCTTGGTGTTCTTGTGGATTTTGAAATTTTAGTAAAAAAAGAGTTTTAGGAAAAAATTAAAATGGGTGGTTTTTTGTGAACATTGTCTTTTATGTGTGTTCAGATTATAGTGGAATACATGCTCATGTGTGTGCCTAGACTTGTTCAACGTGGGGTACCTTTATTTTTTGGAATGAATAGATGGATTGCTTGGAGTTTAATAGCTTGGTATCTTTGTGGATATGGGAATTTTAGTAATTTTTTAATTGATGTATAAAGGTTAACATGGGTGATTGTTTATAATTTGTCTTTTTGTGTGTCCATTTCGTAGTAAAATACATGTTGTTGACTTGGTGTGTCTGTGTAGATATTTGCCATGTGGAGTAGAATTAATCTGGCTTTTGGATTGCTCAATTTTGGCGGCAAAATTGGATAATGAAATTGATATTGATTTTCATTTTGCTTTTATATATATAGTAGATTCTACGGACCACAAAAAGTAAAGTGGAACTTTTTTGTATTGTTTTGAGGTCAATAGCTAATCTACATAATAATAATAAGAGTAAATTCCATAATTGGTGCTTTATAACACGGGGGTTTCCATATTTAGTCCTTTATTATGAAATATTACTCCCGTAGTCCTTGTTTTAAGGGTACCTTTCCACAAATGGTCCTTTTTTTCATCTTCTGTCGTGTTGGTGTTAATTTAAAGGCTAAAAGTATAATTTGACATCAACATTATGTCTAGTGACGTGTTCTGATATTGGTTAAGCAGATAACACAAAATTAATGATCATGATTGTGGGCTAAGATTCTGACGAAAAATCACATTTGTAGACTATCGTTGTCGTAAAAAGCGACTGTAATTCACAAACGACGCAAACAGAACAGCCTTTGGAATTGTGTATGACAAAAAAGATATATTATCATTGTGAAATTACACTTTTAGCCCTGAAATTAACAGAAACATGATAGAAGATCAAAAAAGGACTATTTGTGGAAAGGTACCTATAAAAGAAGGACAACTAAGATAATATTTGATAATAGAGGACTAAATAGGGAAACCCCCCTGTTATAAAGGACCAATTATAGAATTTACTCTAATAATAAATCCTAATTTCCAGACATTACGACACACCTAACAGTTCGCTTGGGTCTTTTTAACAGGGGTTTGAAGCATTATAACTTATGGAAGGTAACATTGATTTTGATATTTCTGCTTTCTACGATCTTAATTAAAAGATTTGATTTTGTGCCATTGAGTGTTAAATTTTTTCCCCTAAGGTTTTTGGGCCAATTACAGCGGCATACATGTTTAAGGGGGCATGGATGTGACTCCACAAATTGTGGCAATTTTCGTGATAGAGATTTGTTGGTAAAAAGTACTATTCTTAAGGCTCGTGGATCCGTTGTTTTTGTTGTGACTTACGACTTGCCAGGTATGCTACTTTACTATGAAATCTCACTCACATTATTGTGATTTATTTTTAGACTTGTTTTAGCTCAATTTGAATTCATGTGTCAAAATTTAGGATTGAAATTTCAAGTTGCAGTTATTTAATTACCTAATAGAACATCTTGACACAAATCATAATAAAAAGTTGAACCTAACCCATTAGCTTGTTCATTTCAAGTTCTTACTAACTCATTACATTTTTCCAACACATTTTTTGATATTATATATTCTTTCAAAAGTTTTTGTTATTTATTGATATGCTCAAGTGTTGCGGCAGTAGAAGAATAGTGCCTTACTATTCCTCCAAAGAACTTCACAGTTCTCACTACATCAATGCTCTTTAAGCATACAGTTAATATACAACTTACAGATGTTGTAAGCATGACTCTTTACTCTTGTTCAATCTGAAGTTTCCTTTACTATGTTTGCTTTTATTCTTATCCATTTAGATATTTTTTTCGTTTTTATTCATTTTGGAATGGTTATTTTATAGTTTCTTTATGTTTTCAAAAAACTTTCCACATGTTGAGGTGTGTTTGCCGGATGGAGATGAATTGGAAGCCGAAGTGATATGTTGTGACTTCCACTACAATCTTGTAGCTTTGAGAAATCAAATTGCTCAATGAATGTTGTAAATATGAAGTTGGTGGATGATGTACTTCTAATGGATCCCAATGAGCTACTTTCACATTCTTTTCAACTCAAACCACATTCTGATCACGTCAAGTTAGTATCGGGTGATTTGGTTATAGGTCTTAAGTGCTATCATGATTGTGACCTTATAAATGTTGTTGAATTTTTCAGGTCTGCAATGCATTTATGTTCTATTAATATTTTGTTTATATGTATTTCATTTGTTACTCCATATTTGGTAAAGTTACTTGCATTTTCTTTTTTGTTTTTATAATGTAAATCCGACAGGAGAAGAGTGCCCCGAACGTTACAGTGCATACTTTTGCGATCATATAGTATGTAAAACGTTCTTCTTTTTGCCCCATCTTGTTTACAGGAAAGAAGAATGTTTTACATGTTATATGATTGCAAAAGTATGCACCGTACAGTTTGGGACACTCCTCTCCCGTTGGCTTTGCACTGTAAAAGAAAAAAAGAAAATATAAGTTACTTTACCAAATAACAAATGAAATACCTATAGAAAGAATATTAATAGAACCTAAATGCAGAATAGACCTGAAAAATCCAACGACATTTATGAGGTCACCATCATGGTGGCGTACAAGACCTATAACCAAATCACTCGGTACTAACTTGGCGCGATCAGAATGTGGTTTGAGTTGAAAAGAATGTGGAAGTAGCTAATCGGGATTCATTGGAAGAACATCATCCACCAACGTAATATTTACAACATTCATTGAGCAATTTGATTCAACTTTCAAAACTACAAGATTGTAGTGAAAGTCATAACATATAGCAACCATTGCTTCCAATTTCATCCCATCAGCCAAACACATATCAACCTGTTGAAAGTTTGAAAATATAAAGCGACTAGAAAAATGAGCGTCCAAAATAAAAAATACTAATAATATCTGAATAGATTAAAAATAAACCAAACAAGAAAATTCAGACTGAACAAGAGTCAAAAGTTTAGCTTATCACAACATCAACAGGTTGAATATTATTTTTATGCTTGAAAAACATTGCAATAGTGAGTACTGTTAGGTAATGAGTACCATTAGCATTAGGTTCACATTCTATTACTATCCTTGAATCCTAAAATACAGGTTCTTTGGAGGAATAGCTAGACACTATTACTCTTTTGCCTCGAAGCTTGGTCATTTACATAATAAGTAACAAATTTTTTAAGAATCTCAAATAAAAATTTTGCAGAAAAATGTAAATAGTTAATAGGAACTTGAGTTGAACTAGTTAATGAATTGACTTCATTGTTGTGACGTTTGTGTTGTAATTTGTGTCTAGGGGTCTAGTTGAATAACACTTAACATCAGATTCTAATATTCTATATTGGGAGGGTTAAAATCCCACATAAAATTTAAAAGAAAAAAGATCACCAAATTTAATTTGACCTGACTATTTTATGGAATAATTGAATATTGCTACCCAAAATTTCAATCTTATATTTTATCACATTAACAAGAATTCAAGCGGAGCTAAAACAGATCTAACAAATCACAATGGCACATCGGATAATGGGTGTTAGTTTTAGTAAATTAACGTACTTGGCACATCATACGTCATAACAGAAACAACGGATCCACAAGCCTTGAGAATAACACTTCTTACCAACAAATTTCTATCACGAAAATTGCCACAATCCGCCGAATTAGGTCTATGCCCACTTAAGCATTTATGCCTTGATTGGCACAAAAACAACATTACCCCAGTGCCTCAACGTCTCCCGCCCATTGCGGGGTAAGGGGGGATCGGATGCTACTTTACAATTGTAAAAAAGCGCAGACAGTTTAGAGAACCAATTTGCTTTATTCCATCATATCCTAAAGCCAAAAAATAGTGAATCTTCGGCTCCACAAGGGAATGGAATTTGATTGGCACAAAAACGTGCAAAAAAAATATTCAACTATAGATGACACAATCAAAACTTTTATAATTAATGAAGATCGTAAAAAGCACAACTATCAAAATCAGTGTTACCTTCCATTAGTTATAATGCTTTAGACCCCAGAAGGGTTGTTAGATGTGTCGTAAGGCCTAGAAGTTAAGACTTCTTCCCTCTGTCCTGAAAAGGGTCAAAATATACTAGATTTGTAAATCGTATGGGACTTTATGAGATATGCTGTAGATTTGATTTTGACCTTATAACATAACTTAATACACAGAACTCATAATATAACTAACAAACTATAACATGGCGGATCTGACTTCTGAGAGGCCTCAAATGATAAGATTTAAATAAAGATAAAATAAACGGAGAAGAACAAATGACACACGAGAGCTTCAAACCCAGCATGATCAACTTAGGTTGAATAACAACAACATTAGCAAATCATTATCTTAAAACTAGAGAGATAACCAACAGTTGTAATATGCCTTGAGCAGTCTTGAAAATAAGGTTTCATGAAAAACATTTACCCAAAACTCTTTTAAAAAGAATCTTGCAATTCACAAACCAAAATGCTGATTAACTATGAGTTATGCTGCAACGGTAGACCACTTGCTCCCCTTCCATAGTTTCCCTTAAGTAATGGATAGTGAAGAGTGCGACCTCAACTTTAGTCCCTAATGTTTCTATCAACTTTAAGACCATCGATAAACTTTAATGAAAAAACAGAGCATTAAGATCTTTGGAAATCTTCACATACTAAATTTCCATATTCGATCAAAAAGATATTTAAACAAATCAACTTAACAACTTGATTGATAGAGAAAGTTTTTAAGTTACTGGAGAACTAATAACCACAGTGTAGCACCATCGAGTTAGTAAAAATGTCCGGTTGAAATTTAGTTTGAGTGTGAAGCATGTATTCCGAATAACCTTTGCTTGGATTAATTTTTAATCAATGAAAACAGTTATTGAATGCCATCTAATTGTAATAACAGCAAACATAGGCCAGATTTACTATTGGATATCTTCACAGTTTATCAAAGGGCAATTCACTAAAAAAATTCAACCTTGACGAACTGTTAAAACATTCCTGAATAAATCTCAGTTTGAGAGCAGACATTATTAATTTATTAAAAAAAGGACGATCATGGACCAAACTAAGACATTCAAAAGCGTGTTTCATAATTTGAAATCAGAAAATACAAAAATTTATGAGCTGAATTGAAGCTAGTTGCTAAAAACTAGTTCAAACCTCAAATTGGAGCTCAACCTAACAACTCTAACACATAATTTGAACAATAGAAACCAAATAAATCATAAAGGAGAGATCTGGATTTTGAAATCCGACCCTGTT